GTTTGTTTATTGCTGTAATAATGGGAATCTGGCCTCTTTTTCCTGCACCTGTGATCCTCCCAGAGGTTTCTCACTTTTTCCCCTTTGTTCGAACCATTTGATTCTCTCATCTGTTGTTGGCGAATCGACAACTTTGTAAAGTCCTCCGAGACAACTTCTGTTGTAATTATAGGGCTATACAAAATGTAATTGAATTGAGCAGTGAGTCCAAAAAGAGAAATCTGAAGTTTTGCTATGCTGTATGAAAAACAAGCACTTACTTATTTTAAATCTATAAAAAAAAAAAACTTAACAATATGCTAGTAATAATTATAGCAAGTAAGTGCTTGTTTTTCATACAGCATAGCAAAACTTCAGATTTCTCTTTTTGGACCTCACTGATCAATTCAATTACTTTTTGTATAGCCCTATAATTACAAACAGAAGTTGTCTCGGAGGGAAATATTACAAATGCTTGTCGATTCAGCACAACAACAGACTGAGAGTATCAAAATGGTTCGATACAAAGGGGAAAAATGAGAAACTCTGGGCGGAATCACAGGTCAGGGAAAAAGTGGCCAGATTCCCCATTAGCTTACAGCAATAAACAAAACAAAATGGGGGAAAGCGAGTGGATAGAATAAACATTACTACAGACTGAAAGTCTTGTTACTTCTCTAAAGCAAAGTGTACTCATCTGCTGCTTGACAAACAACCCGTTCTTGTCTTTACTTTTTTAAGTTGTTTTTCTCAGTCTTACTAAAAGGGATTTGTGTTTTTTGCTTATTCATTCCCACTCCACCATCAGTCTAGATACGTTTCTATTGTTACGTCACACACAAATGACTTGGTAACTGTGAGTACTGGAAATTGGTGAATGCGTGGACAGCAACACATCAGCAGGATTCTAGCAACTTTTTAGTGGCCTCACGCGTTCCACCGTAGCATCCTGGTTATTCCAAGTGTACTGTGAGAGCTGATGAAAATTGACAGAGCAAACTAGGGAACGGATTATATTGTAAAAAACAGAAATCATTGGATGTCCATTTTATTTCCGTGAAAATCTTTTTTTGATGAGTGCATACTATTGAAATACGAACATACTTTTCCCCTTGTACAAAGGCGTACTTGCGTCACCAGTGGCAGTCTGGGTCTTTGCTTGCAGTGGGAGTCTGACTCATCACAAACCCAGTGACGTACGGACTGGCTACACTGTAATTTAGTGTGGCCCCCACCGTAACTCCATGACCCACTTCTCATTGTAAATAGACGGAGATGGGGCAGCGGAATAGTGTGCAAGGACATGTGGTGTGGGTTATATAGGTCAAGATGGTGCATTCCTAACTAACTGTATCTTAAATTTAAAATTATCATAAGAATGTTAATATATCCACAAGGGAAGGGTTGACTGTTTTGTTTTTTTAAGCTGAGTATGGTTATAGGTTACCCGGAAGCCAACCATGGACAGCACGACATCTGAGAACCGTGATGTCGCCCGGCATGGCGCTAGACGGCGGCCCCACCCTGGAGCCAGGCCTGGGGTCGGGGCTCGCAAGCGAGCGCCTGGTGGCCGGGCCTTAGCACCACGGGGCCCGGGCCGGGCTCAGCCCTCGATAAGGATGACGTGGGCAGTCCCTCCTGTGGGCCCACCACCTGCAGAGGGGTCCGTGGTGGCGAGGTGCAGAGAGGACTGGGCAGCAGTCGAAGGCGGAGACCTCGACGACCCAGTCCACACACCCAACATCTGGCTCTTGGGACGTGGAACGTCACCTCACTGGGGGGGAAGGAGCCCGAGCTTGTGGGGGAGGTGAGCGATACCGACTAGAGATAGTCGGCCTCACCTCCACACACAGCTTGGGCACTGGAACCCAACTCCTTGAGAGGGGTTGGACGCTCCACTTTTTCTGGTGTTATCCCGCGGGGAGAGGCGGCGAGCTGGGGTGGCCATACTCATTGCCCCCCATCTCAGCCGCCACGTGTTGGAGTTCTCCCGGTGAATGAGAGCGGTCGCAGTCCCTCCGCCTCCGTGGTGGGGGACAAGTCTCTCACTGTTGTGACAAGGGCCTACGGGCCTAACGGTAGTGCAGAGTACCCGGCCTTCTTGGAGTCCTTGGGAGGGGGGGTACTGGACAGTGCACCGCCCGGGGGGGACTCCGTTATTCTCCTGGGGGACTTCAACGCCCATGTGGGAAATGCCAGTGACACTTCGGAGAGGGGTGATCGGGAAGAGCGGCCCCCCTGATCTGAACCCGAGACGGTGTTCAGTTGTTGGACTTCTGTGCCAGTCACGGCCTGTCCATCACGAACACCATGTTCGAGCACAAGGGTGTCCATCAGTGCACGTGCGGCACCAGGACACCCTTGGCCGGAGGTCGATGATCGACTTTGTAGTCGTATCATCTGACCTTCGACCGCGTGTCTCGGACACTCGGCGTGAAGAGGAGGGGCGGAGCTGTCAACCGATCATCACCTGGTCGTGAGTTGGATCCGCTGGCAGGGCAGGAGGCCGGTCAGACCTGGGCAGGCCCAAGCGTGTAGTAGAGGGTTGCTGGGAACGTCTTGCTGAGCCCCCTGTCAGACGGACTTTCAACTCACACCTCCGGGAGAGCTTCTCCCAGGTCCCGGCAGAGGAGGCGGGACATCGAGTCCGAGTGGACCATGTCTCTTCCTCTATCGCCAATGCTGCGGCTCGTAGCTGTCGGTCGCAAGGTCTCTGGTGCTGGTCACCGGCGGCAATCCCCGAACCCGGTGGTGGACACCGGCAGTAAGGGATGCCGTCAGGCTGAAGAAGGAGTCCTATCGAGCAATGAGTGGTTCGTGGGGACTCCTGAGGCATGCTGTCCAGTACCGGCAGGCCAAACGTGCCGCGGCCCGGGCTGTTGCAGAGGCAAAAACCCGGGACTGGGAGGAGTTCGGAGAGTCCAAGGAGCATGACTATCGGTCGGCCTCGAAGAGGTTCTGGCAAACCGTCCGGCGCCCCTCAGGAGGGGGAAGCAGGTTCTTTGCCAACACCGTGTATGGTGCGGGTGGAGGGCTGCTGACCTCGACTGGGGATAGTGTCCGGTCGGTGGAAGGAATACTTCGAGGTTCTCCTCATCCCCCCCTCCCCCCGTCACGTCCTCCGTACCAGGAGGCAGAGGCTGAGGATGTTGGGGCGGATACTTCCATCTCCCTGGCCGAGGTCACCAAGGTGGTTGGCAGCCCTCCAATGGTGGCAAGGCGCCTTAGTGGAGTGGATGAGATCCGTCCTGACTATCTAAAGTCTCTGCGATGTTGTAGGACTGTCTTGGCTGACACGTCTCTGACAACATCGCGTGGCGATCGTGGGGGCGGTGCCAACAGGAGTGGCAGACCGGGGTGGTGGTCCCTCTCTACAAGAAGGGGGACCGGAGGGTGTGTTCCAATTATCGTGGGGATCACACTCCTCAGCCTCCCCGGTAAGGTCTACTTCCAAACGGTACTGGAGAGGATGCTACGTCCGATGGCTTCGAATCTCGGATTCAGGAGGAGCAGTGTGGTTTTCGTCCCGGTCGCGGAACACTGGACCAGCTACTATACTCTCCATCGGATACTCGAGGGTTCATGGGAGTTCAGCCCAACCTGTCCACATGTGCTTTGTGGATTTGGAGAAGGCGTTCGACCGTGTTCCCGGGGTTCCTTTGGGGGGTTCTCCGGGAGTACGCGGTCCCGGGGTCCTCTGCTGAGGGCTAGTTCGGTCCCTGCTTAAGACCGGAGCCAGAGCTGTGTTCGCATTGCCGGCAGTAAGTCAGACCTGTTCCCGAGGGTGCATGTTGGCCTCCGCCAAGGCTGCCCTTTGTCACCGGTTCTGTTCACTGTATTTATGGACAGAATCTCTAGGCGCAGCCAGCGGGCCGGAGGGGGTCCGGTTCGGGAACCACAGGATTTCACTCTCTACTTTTTGCGGATGATGTCGTCCTGTTGGCTCCAACGAACCAGGACCTGCAAAACATGCACTGGGACGGTTTGCAGCCGAGTGTGAAGCGCGTTGGGATGAGAATCAGCAACCTCCAAATCTGAGGCCATGGTTCTCGACCAAAAGAAAAGCAAAAAAAGGTGCCTTGCCCTCTTCAGGTGGGTGGAGAGGTCCTTCCTCAAGTGGAGGAGATTCAAGTATCTCGGGGTCTTGTTCACGAGTGAGGGGGGAGGATGGAGCGTGAGATTGACAGGCGGATCGGTGCAGCGTGCGCAAGTGATGCGGTCTCTGTATCGGACCGTTGTGGTAAAGAGGGAGACTGAGCCGAAAGGGCAAAGCTCTCAATTTACCGGTCAATCTTCGTTCCCTCCCTCACCTATGGTCATGAGCTGTGGGTAATGACCGAAAGAACGAGATCCGCGGATACAAGCGGTCGAAATGAGCTTCCTCCGCAGAGTGGCTGGGGCGCTCCCTTAGAGATAGGGTGAGGAGCTCAGTATCTGGATCCAGGCATTTTTTAAGGCATCACACTGCGCTTCTTGGTGGAAGTATGCACTCTACTGAGCAATATTGGTCATACTGCCAATCTTTTCCACCTGCATTATGTACACCATTTTTCCTAACCATTACATGGCTGAGTGGATAGCACTCTCGCTTCTCAACAAGAAGGTCCTGGGTTCGAATCCCGGTCGGTTTCCCCTACCACTAAAAACATGCACAGTAGGTATGAATGTAAATAAGAGAGTGATTGGATGGAGTTCATTGGGAGCTGATGCGCCAGTGTGTTCGGCGACTTGCTTCCGTCATCACCGTGTGTGGAATGATTGGAACAATATCTGAACTCTGAACATTGTAAAGCACTTTGGGTGACCTTGGTCTGTAAAATGCGCTATATAAATAAACAGTACTTACTACTACTACTACTTACATACAAGCATTGATTTGACAAGTGGTATGACATTAATTCAGACTATATTCAGTCTCTGTTGTTTACAGTATGTTCTGGAATAAATCTCGGCCTGTTCAAATTTAGATTAAAGTTGTTGATGATTTTTCCATTGATACATTTGTTTCCCTTTCTCTCCAGCCTATGCGTCCTCTCAAAGCTACAGCCACAACCTCCCAGCCTGTCCTGACCATCCAGCAGGTTGAGACCATCTTCTACAAAATCCAGGACATCTTTGAGATCCACAAAGAGTTTTACGATGCACTTCTGCCCAACATCCAGCAATGGGACGAGAAGGTCACAGTGGGCCACTTGTTTCAGAAGCTGGTGAGTCTGATGTGGATAATTTTAGCTCTACTGTGGTCATTTATGTCACTTCGACGTCAGTCAGTTGTTAAAAGGGGAGTGAAAGGCATTAGTCATTTCTCTATTTTGGACCATTGTGATTTTTGCGTGAGTGTAAAAGCAGCTGTTTGTAAGAGTCATCCTACAGAGCAGGGATACATACAATATTTTTTTTATTTATTTTTTTATAAAAGCATTACTACTTTGGTAATGGTGTGTGAACAGTGAGTAAGCAAGTTTATTTGTATAGCACAATTAATACACAATGCAACTCAAAGTGCTGAAAGTCATTAACCTCAGATTCTCAAGTTATCAAACCAGTATTTTTAATTAGATCAGTTACATATGCAGATAAGTTCTTTTCAAAATCCTTTTAGTGTGTTGTGTTGCAGACATGAGATCTGTCACCAAGGAGCTTTTTGACATTTTTCCCATGTGAAGACTGAAGTTGTAGTAGATATTTATATCTTGTTTAATTTAGATTACAATATCAACCATAAATGATTATATTTATTTTAACAATAACACTTATTATCCCCTGTAATATTAGTAGGACTGACAATTGTTTCATAACCCAGGAGAACGGAAGTCACCAGGGGACAAGCATATAGATTGATTTCTCCCAGAACAGACTTGGTGATTGAAAGTTTTAAGAGTAAATAACTAGTTGGATCGACTTTATTCCGTAGTTCATCAAACAAGGGCTTCCGGGTTCACTTATCACAACAGTTAATCAGTGACGTCAAGAGGACTGTTGCATTTCCCTCTGAACTCAGTCTTCTGAACCTCTGTGCAGCAGGACAAAACAAACATTTTACAGTTTACAGACAATAAAAGAACAACAATCCAAACAAATATACATATTTATTATACGGCTCCTCACTGCAGCAGTAGAATGCTCCATTGATTTGAATGTAATTTCAAAACGTTCTACCGGTCATTATTTTCTATAACGGACCTCTCAAAACAATAATGACCGCTGCCCATGGCAACGCACTCTGCTTGTCTTTCAAATGCGTGGATAATTCCGCAAGTAGTTCCGGCCACTCCGGAGCTAGCCACGCTCAATCAACACACTTAAATGTTAATCGGAGAATACTTATACATATACATTCTTCACACACGTGCACGGAAATTTTCTGAATTTTATGGTCTTGTCTTCATGACAAAAATACTTTCTCTGCGTCAAAAAGCGATCGTGAAAAACCCGGAAGTAGTTCCGGCCTCTCAATAAACGCAAATGCCAATCAATCAACGCGATGAAATGTTAATCGGAGAGTAATTTATACATATCCAGTCTTAATACAAGTGCACGGAAGTTTTCAGAATTTTCCCGAAAAACCCGGAAGTAGATACCGGCACATTTTAAGATACCGGCACATTTTCGGACACATTTGCAGAGGATCGAATTATGGATTTAGGTTAGGTTTATGTTTGTTCAGAATTCTTTGTTCAGTTTTCATGCAGTTCCAGAGAGTTCTAGTTTGGAAGTTGCCAGCCTAACTGTTGCTAGCATAGCCACGGGAAAGCCTTTGGGAACTATTTTATTTTCTGTCATTAAATAAACCTTTCGGCATTCCTAAAAGTGGACTGAAGTTTATGTTGTGTGTTCTGTTGGTATAAAGCCGTATAATAAGCGGGATAACGTATATTACGCAGGTCATTATCGGAAAATAAGTACCGACAGGGCGAAGCGCCCTAAAAATCTGCCCTAAAAATCCCTTACATAATGTTCACATTCATTCTCCAGACATTCAGCACTGCTTTTTCAGACCCTCACCCTCAGTTTCCCACAGCTGACACTATCCATTAGTTAAAATAGATTTCTGTTCTAAATTTTTGTAGACTGAGAGCCCCAACCATTGAATATAATGTAATAAGTCTTTTCAATACTTAAGTTAACGAACACATTGGATATTTCATTGACTGCCAGCCCATTTCAGAACAGGTACTTCCATATTGCCAGCCGTTTCTGATGGTTTTTTACTGATTTTTAAAGACCCACAGAATATTGTGTCCTATGACTATCTGAAATCCGACACCAGATTCTAAAAGAATGGACTGTCTACTTTCATCAGCAAAAATAATTTTGTTTCTAGCTTGTTTCGTTCCCCTGTAATCCTCCGTCGAGTAGAGGAAAGTTTTACTGAAATCACCAGAAAGTTGAGAAAAAAGAGGCACAACATGTGCACCTAACTGTTTTCAAACCATTCAGAGAGCAATGCTGCCATCTGCTGGCTAGATAGAATATGGTCTCAAGCCATTCCCATACATATTAGATACAATAGACGTCTGGGAACGTGAAAATAGCGGGAAGGCAATTGACTTATTAATGCGTCAATGGTACACAACGTTACTATTTACTTTGACATATTTGTGCGTCAATGGCACACAATGAGTTAGGAACAGGCACACGATACATTTAATCTTGTAAATAGAGCTGCTTTGAATTGTGGCAGGGGGGGAGAGCGACCGCAGTTCCATGGGCAGTTTATTCCAATCGTACCCGTCGTACATGTCCAGACTTCCGGTGCACCTCTCCAGCAGACCGCGGCAGTCCCAGATCACACTGACACTTGCGACTGTCGCCTGAGCTCCGTCTGTGCAGTGTATACGTGCTCACATCAGTGTCATGAGGAGAGGAGCATTTAGCTGCACACAGATGGTGGTCTAATTACCCGCTCTGTGGCGCCAACATGCAGCTATAGGAGCAGGACTCATTCTCACATTCACACTTTACCAACATAAGACTTCTCTCACGTCTTCCACACCAAAAGCCTAGCTGCCGACCCCAGCTCCATGATTACGTTTTCACAGGTGGTTTATGTTTATGTCTGAGATAGTATAAGGAATCATTTGTATCTTTCTGAAAGGCAGAATAAAGTCAGTTTCTGAATTTGAATGGATAGATCACAAATAAGTATTGCATCCTTTAGAATTATCGGTCCACTCAGTTATCCATGTGTTTCATCATGAACATCAATAGGATAGAGTAATTGGTAAAGAGAACCTTTAAGGTTTAAGTGCACTTTTATGAGGAAATGTGTTGTCTGCGTTTAACCCGTCCTTCCACTTGAGACATAGAACCCATCTCCCGTGACCTTCTTGTTGTGTGTTATTATGGCCACTCACCCGCTCAGCCGCTACTGCTACTGTTATGAAAAGGTTTTATCTGTTGAGTCATGAAAAGTTCCTAGAATGTTGTGTATAACAGCTGAGATAATAATGTGTGTGTAATTACGTTTTTATTCATCACATAGTCTGTTTTGTGAATAACAATAGCACATGGATGAGAAAACTTCTAAAGCCAAGTAAAGATTTTGAAGTGAAAATTGACCGTGTCTAAGGACAAGCAGTCCTCCACATTTTCTATTCAGCTGAGTCCAGTATCGATCTAATTGGGGGAAAGAGCTTTGAGCGCAGCTTCTGAAGTATAGCAGTATATGCATATTCCTGCTCTTGAGGGCTGTGAACATCGGGTGTCCCCATGCAATAGAAGTCATGTGAGGGTAGATGAGGAGATTCATCAATTTATTGATTTATGTTTTGTGAGTCACGTCATTTTTAATCTATTGTATTTAAAGAGTATCTTTTCTGTTCCATTTTACAGGCCAGCCAACTGGGAGTATACAAGGCCTTTGTGGATAACTACAAGGTTGCACTAGAGACTGCAGAAAAGTGCAGTCAGGCCAACAGCCAGTTTCAGAAAATATCTGAGGTAAATATTATATCTGCATGATGCTAATCACATCCGCACAGTCATATCAGTCATATCTATTATGAATATTGCATTAATAACCAACTGTCTCTACAATGACCCAAATGTGAACGCATTACCCTAACTCTAGGACCCTTTTTTGTTTGTTTTACATAGCTTTAAGATGTCTTTATGTGGAAGGTGCTTCTTGTTTATGTTCCAAGATTAAAAAAACAATGTTTAACCAAGGACCCCATCAGTTGCTTTTTAGTTGCCTGTTCATTTGAAATCAGACGCAAACAAATTTGACCTGTGCTTTAATGTTCTATCTAGATAAAATGCAGCATTTCAACCCTGGCTCCTATAGAGCGATTAATTGCAATCAAATAAAATATTTGATTTGCGGTTCTAGTGCCCGAGAGTAAATATTATCTTATTGCATGTGTGAAAGTCTATCCATCGCTGTGTTTAGAGCTCTAAATCATGCTTAGAAATGTCGAAAACAGGTGAATAAGAGATTAGGAAAAGGTAGGATTCACCCTATTCTGAGTGCATTTTGACTGTTATCTGCTAATGAAGAAGGCAAGTCCAGTCTGATTAACTAGGTTTTAGGCACAGTGGGGTTTTTATTGTAAACTTGACACGTACTGTACTTGTTTTTATGCCATGTTCCCACCAGTAAACAACAATGAAACTTTCCCCTCTCTGTCTTCATTTACTACAGAACCTCAAAGTCAGGGGCCCAAAAGACTCAAAAGACTGCACCAGCACTGTGACCATGGAGGGTAAGTTGTATTCTCCGTCTTCCGCTTATCTCCGTGAGGGAAGTTTGCTCCTTTAAGACCCCCCCCCCCCCACCCCTGGGCGCGCTGGCTGTTTGTGTATGCGGTGGTGGGCTTGGGGAGCAGAGCGGCGCATGTGTAAGCAGGCAGGCTCTTGGATAGTTTCCCTCTGTCAGTGAGCGGAGGACAGAGCAGGAGAGAAGAGCTGGGATATGGAGGTGCTGCTGGTGCTCAGGGTCTGCTGTAACTGCACTTACGGTAACTTTTCAAATATTAAGACAGGGCTGTGCATTTAGTATGATTATGTTGCGAGATTAAAAAGAAATGAATGCTATGGTTATTTTCTTTTTAATTTATATTTGTTCTAAAAGGTGGGTCATGTCTTTCTTTCCAAACCTGTCTCTTTGATTATTTCTGAATATTACCGTTGGTGTTACATTTGTTTATGTGTAAGTAAACAGTAAATAGTTTTATGTTCAAGAGATTCTTGAAAGGCTGCTTCTACTATAACCGCTGACTTTGACATCTATAGCTTCTGGTAAAATATCACAAAAATAGACTAAGTTTGAATTATTAGCTTCATTATTATTATTATTTTTAATTCTGATGTGTTTCTAGATGTTCTACAATGTGAATAGTTTCATGTACGTAAGTTAACTTATACAGTACTGCACATTTTACATGTCACTAAATGCAGTACAAAGTTAACACTTTTTAACTTTTTATTTTATTATATATATATTTTGACCTATTACTCTTATTTGACATGAGTTTGGATATCCTTCTCTGGATGAATTGAGTTTCTGTCTGGATGTATTTAACTTCTAATTACCATCAATGATGCAAGCTGATACTATAAATTGAAAATAATTTTACTAAGAACACTGTAGGACTCTTCTTCTGGAGGGTTTTATTAAATTACTTGACAAAGCTGGAAAGAACGTTTCCATGTGCACAATTCCAAACCAATGAGCTGGACAATATCTGCTTTTGAATTTCCTTCTTTCCTTCCAGCGATTCAGACCTGTCTCTTTGATTCTTTCTGAATATTTGTTGTGTAGTGTTACTTTGTCTTGGTTCTTCAACCATGACCGTTGCGTTTGACTTTTTTGACAGCCGTTGCTTCTTGTGAAATGATACAAAGATTTATGTAAAAAAAAAAAAACCTACCTGAGGCTTTGTGTTAAAGTCGGGGTTCCTAACTTTTAGCTCTTGTTTGTCTCAACAGAAAGAGTATAAGTTAAATATTGTAAAGAAATCAGACCACAACATACGGTCTTCATCTTATTAGAAAGGGCCAATTGAGTCACTTTTTGACAATATGGGCTGAGAACTGACTGGTGTGGTGAAGATGGTCCTCTCTTTTTCACTTTTCTATCTTGAAAATATATAAGTATTTAGATTTTATACATTGATACAAAAATAGGACATTGTATTTAGTAGCAGTAGAAATGTCCAACCATATACCTTCTCTCCCTGAAAACTTCTACGCTGGAAAAACTTTTTGAAGCAAGGATTAGTTCCATCCAGCATCATATTTGTCTTCATTAAATATAATCTGTCGTCTCACTGTTTCGGCTCAGCTTCTCGTTATCAGATGCAAATTGCCATAACAGACACCTCACTGACTGTTTAGTATGACAATGGTGTATCCTGTTTACTTCAGTGGATCCAGTCCTTTATCCTCCTCACATACATTCTTTATATTATTATATTGCCCTCTGTCTGCCCCGCATCCCATACCCAGGGTGATGTTGAGTTTGTACCAGAGATCCTGATTTAAACTCCAGTGTTGCTGGAGAAAAATCTTATTCTAAATTTGACCTTGAGTATGGGCCACTTTTCGGATGGAGATAAATAAAATAAAATAAAATAAAAAAGTCTAAGTCTAGCTTGAAGAAAAATCAAGTATTAAATCTCTATACAAATATACAAATAATATTGTTTTATCATAATGTTGCATGTATAATTAATAAGGACTTTAAAACTAGTTGTATACTGTATTATTTGTTCCCGATTAGTCTGATAAACAAAGTACTTTACACAGACTCATCATTGTCACTTTCTAAAGACATAATTGATCACGGATGCTCCCCTGTATGGTACCATTAGTTCACTGAGTCTGGGCCATTGATCGTCAGCATCACTGGGGGCCGGAGCCAGAGGAGCTTCACAGAGCATCAGCGGCTCCCACACATTCTCTTTGCTTGTTCTGGGAGAATATATGGAAAGCATCATGCATACAAACGAGAGCCCAGAGTTCAATATGTCTGAGCGAATGTTTAGTTTGTAGGGTTTTGGTTTATTTTTTTTAAGTTGGAGTAGACCATTCAATCTGGGATTCGATTTGTTATGTATCTGGTTTAGTTTTTGTGTTTGCCGCTGTACTTCCAATTCTTCAAAAGAGCCAGAAACATGTGCTGAATGTATTACAAGTGGCAATAGTGTAGATTGATTCCAGTTTAGTGTAGTGCAGTTTACAAAGTCATACTGAACAAACAAAAATTTAAAAATCCAAAATTTAGTCCCTGCTCCGATACTTCCACATTTACTTAGAGAAACGTTAAAGCTTTTTACCTTTCTATAAAGTCTGTAAGCTAAAAAGATAAAAATATGTTTTAAAGAATGCGTATCCACCCACCTCCCAAATGTCAAATTCCCATTGGAGTGAGTCCTTGTTAATCAGGAGGTGTGAGTCCATTTAAAAATCTTCTCTCTCCACATTTAATTTACTTGCAGGCAATCACTTTAAACACAATGGTTGTTATTTTGGATCCTGACACGTTTTTGTCATGTCATTAGAATAACATTAGGTGATAATACTGGCTTCCTCCACCTATATCTATAAGTGCTCTCTACCGTGGGCTCCTCAGACTTGCTCTCCAGTCTTCTTCCTGTCATTTATTCCTGGAAAAATCTCACTTTATTTTGTCATAATGTGCCAGCCCTGTACGCTGCTTGCTTCACCTCAACAGCACTGCTTTATCACCCAAAGGAAGCTGGTTCTGTTTCTCTCTTAAGTGTCCATTCATGTAGTTTGCCTAGTAGCAGCTGAGGAGGAGTTTGACCACCAATGGGAGACCGCAGTGTCATTGAGGAGATCAGGGTGCATGTTAAGTAGCTTGCAGAGAGTGTCTGCACTGTGAAATATCAACGCATTAATGAAATAACTAATGTTTGGCATTGAGGTCTTAGTACATTTTTATTTTTGCATTAGAAGTGTTTTATTCACATATTCTTTATTTCTTCACAGCACTCCTTTACAAACCGATTGACCGCGTCACTAGAAGCACACTGGTCCTACATGTGAGTACATTTTTAAAACACTAACTCTCTGAAAATCAATGCAACTCAAAATAACTTGCTTTTCTGCACTCGTACCAATACATGGATGAGATCTGGCAAAGTCGCACTTTACTATAAAAGTGACAGTATATATTTTGTTTTAATATATATATATATACAATTTGATTTCATATTTTCCAACAGCAAAATTCAAAAATTACAAATAACATTGAATATGCATCATGGTTGTATTTTTCCCAACCAAGAACCCTCATAACACCCACACAAAGAAAATAGCTGAAGAACAAAAAACAAAACTCAAAAATTACATTAAAATCTTAAATGAAAATGAAAGATAACACATTGGATTCTCTTTAAGGATGAGCTTGTAATATCGGTATGTTACGCATGTTGTAGTTTTCAACATATTTTAGACATGACTGCCCTGTTTCTTTTTGTGAGTGAGCCCCTTAACGTACACCTCATGCTCATGTTTCATTTCTCCATTGTTGATGCGAAGGCGGAGGCTCTTATAAAGGTGACATTGACATAAACATAAACCACGTCAACATTGGCTGTTCCTGAATGTTGATCAATACCCAGCCTCAGTTTCCACCTCCCACATCCCGGCGATATTAATAACTATAACGCTGATGAAGCCCACTGTGAAAAACACTACTTGCGTTGAGCCACAGTCTGGGCTTCCTCTTCTCTCTAAAGGTCACTCTCCTCACAGACAGAGATGCTGTGAATATTGGTTGGTTTATTTTTGAACACACACGTCTGCATCTGTCCTGCCATCACACCTCTCCGCTGATGAGAGCTGCCTCAACAAAAACAAGGAAATGAGATTTTCAATGATTAGATGGTGCGGCTCAAACAAGAGGTGAAATGGAAATGGAACACCTTTCTTTGTGCTTGCATTTCAGTTGATTTGCATTTGTGCCTTGATAAGTTGGGAAAAGTTCTATCTCAAGGTTACAAATCCTACTTAAGCTAAAACAAACAAACTTTCTCTTGAACTATTATTATTATTAAGCTGCAAAAGCAAGGCCTCTCCCAACACAACATAACCATGCTAATAAGGATCCGCTCTGTAAGACATTTCTTACAAGATCCAGTGTCATCCTAAAGAGTTATGGAGTGAATTAATAAACACAAATTGTAAAATGTATAAATGTAAAGTGACTTGTTTTTCAGGATTTGTTAAAACACACTCCCAAAGACCACCCGGACTTCCCTCTTCTCCAGGACGCTCTGCGCATCTCCCAGAACTTCCTCTCATCTATTAACGAAGAGATCGACCCGAGGAGGACCGCCGTCACAACGCCCAAAGGAGAGGTGCGACACAGGGATTTTTCATTAAAACTAAATAAATTAGGGAAAAGTCCTCGGAATGTTACAGTGCAAATGGCAGATGTGTTTTTGTGTTGTTGGAACGACACCTAAATAATAGGATTACACCAAAAAAGCCACAGTTTGTGAAGAATATCTGTAAAATATGTTGACGTTTCCATTTTTGTGTTTTATTCTAATTAAATTAATATTCCTACAATGTAATTATTAATACATCTCAGAATTTTGTAGCACTACTTGGTTTCTATGTAACGTCCCTTAAGTTTTTTCATCAATTACAACCAGGAAGTAGGATTATAATGCCGAGCTGGTCAGACATTTATAACATTTGTAAAATCATTAATGCTAACTGTTTTGTGAAACCTAAAGTCTAACCTGTTACATGCACTTTAATTGTAGCTGAAACTCATAAGATCTAGATCCTGGTATGTGACAGTGTTTCATCTCCAGGCTCGTCAGCTGGTGAAGGATGGATTTCTGGTGGAGGTGTCAGAAAACTCCAGGAAGTTGCGGCACGTTTTCCTCTTCACTGATTTGCTCCTTTGTGCCAAGATGAAAAAGACCGCCGTCGGGTGAGTGACTTTCACTCCTGCTGCCCTTTCTAAAGTTATCAATAATTCATTCTCAGGGCTGAATTCCCTCTGCCCCTGATCATTTGATTTTAATTTTATATGATCATGATTATATTAACCCTATAGATTATGGAAATGTTTCCATGGCAACTGCATTTGTTAATGAAACCATCATAGAATGCTAAATGTTAAATTATAATCCAAAATGGGTTTCAGCTTTACTTTTGATTTACATTTAATTACTTAAGAGTACTGTAATAACATACAAACTCTCATTGTATTAATCCCCTCTGTTCAAATTCAGGCGCCTCATAAATGATTGGAGAGCAGTTTGTTTTTGTTTTTATGTATAGATAGATTTAATTTAGCATATTACTGGCCAAGCATCAGGGTTCAACCTCTTTTCTAAACATAACTATGTGGTCATGTTTCTGTCTCTCTTGCGCTGCAGCCGGCACCAGCAGTATGAGTGTAAGTGGTACATCCCTTTGGCAGACCTGACCTTCCAGACTCTGGACGAGTCAGACTCGTGCCACAGTGTCCAGGTGCTGCCCGAGCACGAGATCGAGGAGATGAAGATGAAAATCTCTGTCCTCAAGAGTGAGATCCAGAAGGAGAAGGTAAATCATATTGTACTAGAGATTGGATTACCATCAAGCACAATAATCATATTGTGTCTGAAAGTTACAATCTAGACTTGTATCAGCTTTGTTACAAAGGAAATCACATTATTAGTAACTCATTAAAAACAAAGCAAAAAATCAAATGTATTTATCTGATTAGTTTCTATAATCAAGATGTCAAAAAAATAATTGGGAGATTAAATAAATATCTTTATACTGCATTGCTCTTTGCAATTGTATCTATCACTGCTCGGTCTAAGTGTTTTAACAATGTACTTGTTATGTAGTGAAACTCTAGTGTTTCACACTTTACATTGAACTTTACGCATGTTAAGTCGGCTTTCACCCAGTATTGTGTCAAAGGGCAATTGATTGTGGGTGAGTGGATAGCACTCTCGCTTCTCAGCAAGAAGGTCCTGGGTTCGAATCCCGGTCGGACCAGGGCCTTTCTGAGTGGAGTTTGCATGTTCTCCCCGTGTCTGCGTAGGTTTCCTCCGGGTACTCCGGTTTCCCTTACCACTAAAAATATGTCCAATAGGTCTGGCATGCGCCTCCTGTACCGGCGACCCCGCTCCCATCTCTGTGTGGAGTGAGAGATAAATGCCCATAATTAACAATTGTAAACCGCTTTGAGACTCAGATCTGCAGTGAAAAGGCGGTATATAAATAAAGATTACTTACTCCTACTTACTACTTACTCTGTGAACCATGGCAGCACGGTGGCAGAGTGAATAGCACTCTCGCTTCTCAGTAAGAAGGTCCTGTGTTCAAATCTCAGTTGGAATAGGGCCAGTGAAGTTTGCATGTTCTCCTCGTGTCTGCGTAGATTTCCCCTACCACTAAACCCATGCTAGGTAAAGCCTCCAGCTCTGGTAGTCCTGACCAAGCCGAGTAGCAACATCTGGCGATGGGTTCGCTGTACTATGCCAAACAAACGCCCTAGTGGCATCACAGGATGCATCACAGGATGCATCACATGCAGACGACAAAGTTCCATATGGGGATAGATAAAGTGCACATATACATTAACGTTTATTTACAATGTGGCCTTTTGCAACAATATAAAGCCATATATGAAGCCATATACAATGATTGCTTTTGAGGACATACATGAAAACTTTTCCAGTGTTATGTTTATTGTTGGCCTCTTGAGTACTCCATCCTCCATAGCATATGCCCATCCACAGTGGTTGTCCACACTTTTCAAGCTCATACAGTACTGGTGCAGAATCCTTGTCTGTGGAAGCTGCTCTCACTCAGGCCACCACAGTCCTCCTGGCGTTTAGGACCTGCGTCACTGCACCACTGATCAGATAGGAGCGAGTATGACTCACAGCTTCCTGCCAACCAATCTTGAGGATAAAGTCTGCATTTGCTTTCACTTTTCACTACAACAGATACTTTCATGTTCAGCAGAAAATAATAATTTAAAAAAATGTTTTTGGAGATAACACTTTCTCTGCTTTTGTGTGTAGAAAGCCCCCAAAGGCCAGAGTCGTGTGGAAAGGTTGAGGAAGAAGATGAACGAGCAAGAATCCTGGTTACTCATGCACTCCCCTACGATCCCTTTTCGCATCCACAATAAACATGGGAAAGTGAGTGGCTTTTTTTAGTATTTTTTATGCACTACTGAAAATTCACCAGTAGAGGGAGACATTTCACTTGTGCTCGTCTAAACGTTCTCTACTCTTTCTCCTCTCAGCTGTTCTGGACTCGGTTTATGAGAAATTACTCTTACTTTTTAATTATTACTCTTTACTTTTTATATTATACAGTCCATTTATAACCTAAGTTTACAATAATTTTAACCCTAGGACTCCCAGAATTTTTAAACTACTACAACTTCCTGTCATTTTGACCTCTCTCCACTCAGATCAAAAGAATTCTGAAAAGTTACTAAGTTTACCATATATATATATATATATATATATATATATATTTAAATCTTTACTCTCTTTTTAATAAGCGAAAAAACTGTAAATATAACTCAAAATTGAGAAAAAAACAGTTTGTTGAAAGGCTAAATGCTAACTGGTAGCAAGTTAACAGAATGTTGCTATGGTTACTAGGGCCTGCTCCTTTCTACCTATCTTCTCCATTAAAAAAATTATTTCATAAATATAAAGACATAGAAATAAACGGAAAATGTCACAAAGTTATATCATTTATCAAAAATGGAGTAATTACTAAAACAAGTTAAAACAAGAAAGAACTCATTGGGAAATAATACAAATCTAGAATCCGATATACGATATACTACACATCTGGAATTATTTGCAATATTTATTCCAAACATATTCTCCATTTATTCCTTTCCATTATTTATATTTTGTGTTTTAACCGCTTATTTTTGTTTAGAGTTATCTCTTCCTGCTGTCTTCGGACTATGAAAGAGCCGAATGGAAGGAAAGCATACAAAAACTCCAGAAGAAAGGTATAACAGCTGTCTGCAACCACTATTGACATGTTGCACAACTTAACATGTGTTGTTCTGTGTTTTTCTCAGACCTCCAAAGTTGCGTTTTGAGTTCTGTCGAGCTCCAAGTTCTCACCAGCTCTTGTTTCAAACTCCGCACCGTCCACAACATCCCGGTCACCACTAACAAAGACGGTAAGGACGCTTCCACACTGGCTCTTTATTCTCCTCCTGTGTGCGTGGGAGCTTGCATGTTTTCTTGTTCTCTTTTTTTGGGTTCATACAAAAGTGCCCGTTACACCGTGAGGGCTGGGAGAAGCTACATAATGACAGAGGGGGGTCTCAGCAGGAAAAATGTAGGTTGCAATATGTTTCTGATCTTGCTCCGAGCCTTGAATGCCACGCTCTGTGCTGGCGTTTAGCTTGTACATGTTTGTTTTTGCTCCAAATCTCCACATTGCACAGGACTGGGAGGCGAGTGGGGACATTAAAGCCATCTGGACAGCCCACTCGGATCTGAGGCTATGGCACAAAGTGGTTTCAAAAAAAAAAAAAAAGTTGAGGAACATGCAGGGTAGTGGCTGCAAAGGGTTGTCATATTCAATGTCACAAAAAGCTACCATCATTTGGGTTTGTTTACCAAAAGTGCTCCATTATTTTGACGTTTCAAACCTTTTTAAGTGGTCATCGGTGACATGTTGGGACTGCGTTGGAATGTGTGTCCAACTTCCCCAAAGTCCCCAGTCATCAGTCCTTTCACAGGGCTGACTTTTGTTTATTGGGGAAGCTTTTCATTTTTTATTTTGTGGTACATACAATTTAAACAAGACATAACGCGCTTCTGCCGGTTATATAGCGGATTGACTGTATGTAATAAACAAAATCGCTCTGCACCTGCCCCTTTTTGCGACATCAACAGAGACATCTGGACCTTTCAAAGGCCCTGCAGGCTCTGCTGCTCTGCTCAGATCTGATGAAATTAGCCATTACCAATTATTTCCATCAAGTTAAAATGTCTGCATAACTCTACTAAACCAAAGTAAAGAAACATTGTTTGCACTGGTCAAAAGAGTTGAGGGAGGAGCATTTGTCCTCATATCACAGAATCAGAAATTAAAATTGGTGAAACAAATAAGTAAAAACAGTAAGTATGCAATGGTGTTCGTGGTCAGAAGAGCAAGGCAAGTGTGATATCTCAAAATCAAGATAATATCATGGTCAAAAGGTGTGAGAAGCTGGTCACTGGCTCATTCCTCGTTTCTCCTCAGGTATAATTCCTTCCTGAAAGGTTTTGTCAAATGCAGTCTCTGTTGTGTGGGTACTGAGCTTCATAAATGAGGCCCCTGGACATTAAACTATGCCCACGTTCTTCTTTGCCCCGATCCCTATATGTTTAAATAAAACTGAGTACATTATACAGTTCATTTACAGTCCCAGAATAATCTGGTCTTCTGGGCATGGAATAAACGGAGCAAACACTGTAGCCATGCTTGGATGAACATAAAGGGGTTCATTAATAGTTGTACAGAATCATGTACTTACACTTGACCTGTGTCTGGTATTATTTTTGATAAAAGGTTTTCCATATTCTTGGACAACGTTCCAAATGCAAGGCTGTTATAGCTTAAGACTCTTTCTGGGAAATAAATCCTGTTATATGGCTTTACATTATTCTTTGGACTTACTTGTACATGAGTGAAGTGCACCCATGCACTCTGCACCTCTGTGTTACAAGCTGCACTGGGCACTGGGGGGATTAAATTAAGAACAGCTGCTTTTGGAATGTTTCTAATAAACTCATAACTTTTCGACATGGTCCCCCACTGTTGTTGAACTATTTACATTTTCATATACATCCCTCACTCCCAATTCAATATCAATTTATCAGTTAAATAAGTTTATTGTGCCGTATACTGTAATTGGCCTGGATGACTGGAAACTGAACCTTTGAACTGTCTCCCCCTCCCCGCTCATGAACACACCGCTCTCCTCAGCCGCCTACAGTGGAAGCCCAAACAGTCATGGCACCGTTTATTTACCAGGAAACATGGGCCCCTAGCATAGCACCACTGCGCCTCATGTTGTGTCAGTCAGGGCCACCCAAAAACGACCAACCATGGACACGCATATCTACGAAGTGGTATTTTAGGAATGTCTGTGGATACGTAATTCACTCATTGATTTTTATCAGTTTATTTCTAGTTTGCATAGACAGGGAGAGTTGATAACCATCTGTGTTTAATGAGATTTCTTGTCTCAAAAAACTGGATTTGCATATCATCTTCCATAATATTATCTGTGTCTTTCAACAGAATGTAATGTCTGGTTGGCCACTTTCTGTACCCAGCGCAGTAACCATGTGTGCATGTTTTGCAGATGAGGAGACTCCAGGCCTCTACGGCTTCCTTCATGTGATCGTTCACTCTGCCCAAGGATTCAAAGAGTCAGCCAGTGAGTGCGAACATCACACATCACAGACTCTCTGGCACGACATAACAGGACTAAAAAACTGGCAAAACACCCAGTCTATACAGCTTTGTTTCTGGCATAGGCCTTTGAGGTGGAGATGGTATTAGTAATGCTCAAACTCACCGTCACATGCATTTCAAATTATTGAATATTTAATGAGTTATAGCCTATCCTTTAGTACTGAGAAAGACGGAAGTGTGGTTTGACCCATAACTCAATTTGTTATAGCAAATATCAGATATAGATACCAGTGGCTTCCAAACATATGGACGAGAAATCTTATCTCTACTCGTTTGATCCTGGATAAAGCAGAGGGGTTTATGATGGAGCGAGTGTGAGGGAACAAGGAGAAAGAGGAGTGGGGATTTGAAATGCAGGTCAGTGTCTGGAGATGTACTACAGGAGAGAGAACTGAGGACAAACTAGAGAGAGGGAGAATACAAATGAGGTGAAGGAGGGCGAGAACATTATTGAAACGTAAGCCGACTCTTTTAATTGGAAATTTCAGATTGTAACAGTTATCAATTTTGAAAGAAACAATGTGTTTTTTTCCAGCCCGAAACTGTGGTAAGTTAAAGCTCATATAGGCTTACTCCCTTCACAAAGGAAAGCAATATTTCACTTTCCTCTAGAAAATTACAGTATCTCATTTGTCTTGTTTGGAGCTGGAGCTGACACCATCAGTCCCATTATAGTAGCTTTAAGAATGTGAGAATGATGGATGAAGTTTGGCATCTCTGAGCCCTCATCCGTACGTTTTGTTCTGTATATTACGTTCGTTGAAATGATTAATACTGCTATATGTTGTCTTCAGTGCTTTACAGAACAATAGATTTCTTTGAGTGTCATGACTTCTTTGTTACACATGAAGGCAGGTGTTTGTCAGCGAAAGTAAACATAGAAATCTAATCTGAAGAAAAGATCCCATAAAGGCATTGCAGAATGATATGATTATGGTATTTCTGTCACACTGAGCCGCCCCAGTGGGAAAGGGCCTCCGTTCAGCCATGGGCAAACTACTGAAAACTGGGTCACTGGGAAAGACAGAAGTCGAGACGCTACCAAAACACTATTTAGAAAAAATAAACCTGAGCAAAACACCTGCTTATGCTGCCACAAAACCGTTGACTGTTGAATGTTGGGTTGTCTGCAACAAGTGACAGTTTGGATTGCAGCTGACAGTGAAGATTGCAGATGACAGTGATATTATCCTCAATCATTTATTCATATTGTCTATCTTGATGTAAGGGCCAAACTGTGGTATTGCACCCTCTGAGCCCAAAGGATTTCTCCCATAGACGCACCTTGTATTTTGTGATTTTTGTTCAAACCGCCTGTGTTCAGCTGACGGGCCACCGACAGCTGAATAGAGCTTAATTTTTGAATGGATTTTACAATATTTTATTGTAATTATTTTTGTGATTAGTCAGGGCTGTTCTTGTGGTCTCATTTTGGAAAAGCTTTTCTGCTCCACTGATCTGCCATCTTGGACTCATCTTCCAGGTGTTTTTCTTCTGGGTTCAAGTCAGACATTAACAACATTAAAAATACTGTACAAATTGAATTGATGCTCGATATTAAATCATGGCCGAATTATATTTTACCTTTGTACATGTGGAGAAAGTCCTCCTCCTGCTTGTTCCAATGGAAATGTTGTTAATTTGGCTGCATAATGTTTTAGAACATCTCCATGGAATTTTCTCCCAGTCATTTTACCCAGTGTTCTGTGTCAGCTCACAATGTTTCAAGTTCCAGTAGTTCCAATGATAGAAATCAAAGTGTTTCTCCTGAGAGTGATTGTATTCAGCCTAATGTCTTGAGTTTTAGTATTTTTTTACAGGAACACGTAATGAGGCCTTTCCAATGCCCCCTGTGGTAACAAACTCTTCTATGTTGAGTCAGGAGCAGTCACAGGAATCTGTTGCTTTCTATGCTACAACTATTACCCTCATTATACCTTATCTTGTGGAGTGAGCCCTCAGTTTGACCCTGTGCTTCATGCGGCCCCTGGCCAGGATTAGACCTCTATGTTTGGACACATATGCTCTCCAGTCACAACAGCCATTTAATCAAGATGGAAGAGGATGGGACGCATTAACCTCTGATTTTAGGGAGCACAGACCTCAGACTGACCACTGAATGTCACACAGAAAGGACAAAGTGGTGACCTGCAGTGGACTCCTGATGCAGCTTCGGGCCTCTTCTGTGGTTCTGCTGGTTCTACAGTGAGGACTTCATAGGTTATTTTTGTATGACTGAGTACAGTATTATTTTTGGTATTTTTATACAGATTATTGCGATAATTAAGGCTGGTAAAATGGCATAATTGACCTATCAATCATGGATGCTCGCCTGGAAATGTTTTTTATCTAATCACTTGGTGAAGAAAAATGTAAGAAATAAACAGGGTTATCAGATTTTTGTACCAAAAAACCTGATGTACCAAAAAACCTGATGAAATTCATACATTCTCAGATGATTGCTGTGAGATAATCATATCCATATATATCGGAAGTGTAGAATATTCACTGTCTTTGTGACTTAGTTGCACAAACTTCCTCCCGGAACCTTCCCCTGAATCTCCCTCCTCTGAACTTCCCCTTCACTGCTGCCTCTAATCCCAGTTCATCAGGAGTAATTATGCCCCCTTTTCAAGACACGGCCAAAACAAACAGGTCCTGGATCCAGATGAGGCGTGTGTGCTAGTGTACTGGGGGAGAAGGCAGCAAGTAGCCTGCGCTAAGGGGTTTTAGGAAGCAGTTTATAAAATCTATAATCATAGCTATCTATAAAAGGCTAATTACTGCAATGTATCAGTGACTTAAGCGGTCCGCAATATTAATATTGTATTTAATTGTATTGTCATGTAAGTCAATAGTTTATAAAGTAAGTTGTGGTCAATGTTCCATATTTTACCTTGGCGAGTTGATATCATATCATGTCATAAAAAATGTATTACAATTATTTTACAAACAATATTCTTTCCCCCTCATAAACAGATATTTTGTTTCTATTTGAGAAAACTGTCCATCTCTTTGATTTAATAGTGTGACTTTGCTGGTGAGAGGTCGAGGCATAGACTCATCCATCAAGTTGTCAACTTCCGAATCACCCCAGAGAGAGACCTGGCTTCAGGACGTCCTATCAGACACTTTACAGACATCTCATTCCAGCGCCTCTGCAGCCATTTAAGAAACACATTACCAGACTTTAATTGGCCCATGTAAGATCTGGAAGTGTGCTGGTCCTATGGGTGCTTCCTCCAGCTGGGAATGTGTCCATTCCCATCAACGTACACGATTGTGAAACGATCCTAAAGAATTGGTTTTCTTTGATTGCACAAGAACCTGCTGTGCATTAGTCTCTAGACTGTAGCACGTGGAAAAAACACAATTCTTACAACAAAGCCAAATTTTAGGGGACACATTTGAAAGATGCAGATATAATTCAAGATTTAATATATCTCTGTGTCTGTAAAACTAGAAATCCATAATAATTATAAAATAATTCAAATAAAGAATGCTATTAAAGTAAAACTGTACAAAATCTTACACATCCTTGACTTGATTTAATATTTACGCTAAAAGATGCAATGTTTGTTTCAGATTTATACTGCACCCTTGAAGTGGATTCCTTTGGATACTTTGTCAGCAAAGCCAAGACCAGAGTGTTCAGAGACACCTCAGAGCCTCAATGGAACGAAGTCAGTCAACTACCTATTCCATAATTCATTTGAATATAATTTTTATAATAATAGAATTTAAAATCATAATAAATTATGTCTGCTGTTTGTAGGAATTTGAGATCGAGTTGGAGGGCTCCCAGTACCTGCGGATCCTGTGTTATGAAAATTGCTACGACAAAAGTATGCTTAATAAAGACGACAACGAGATAGTGGACAAGATCATGGGCAAAGGGCAAGTGCAGGTAAGAACAACATCTGCTTTAACGCTACTGTATGCATTTATGGCATTTATGTATTTATTTTTTCGGAGCGAACATAACAACTTTTATGTGCGATATTTGGTGTTTCCATTGTACTTAACTGATTCTTCAAAATCTGCATTGAAAACAGAGTGAAGGAAATGTGACCACTAAGAACCTACAGAAAATTGGGTTTTTCAAGCTTTTGTAGACATCAAGGAAAGTGTACTGGTGCTTCTTTCATGATTAGAAGCAGTGTGTAGTATTAATATTAAGAGATCCTTTATTAATCCAAAAGAGGGTACATTTCGGTGTTGCATTACAGAACAGTCGGAATAAGGGGTGTTGATGTCGGGGTCTCAAAACATAGATTGTAGAATGGTTTTCTTTGTTTGATATTAACACAGTGCACTGTTGATTTGGGGAGATTGAGAACATGTGACTTGACTTCATTTGTCTCGACACAGTGCTGTGGTTTTGTTCTGGTGGCCTCTAAAGACCGCAGTGGCATTAATTGTCTCAAACAGAGTTGTGTTGTGGAGGGTTTTCCCCGTTGTGTTGTGAGAACCAGTGTAGTAAAAGTCCCCCTCAGTCTTGTGTTGCTGTTGGTGGAATCTGTGGAAAACCTTTTGGGCTTTTTGGACATTCACTTTTTCCATAACAATTATTTTGTAGTTTTGTTGGTAGTGTGAGCAAATGACCTCTGCAGAACTCTGCTTCCACTTCTGCTGGACTTGGTCAACAGTATTTTCTAATAGTTTGGGCATGTTCATGTTGCTGTTAAAGACACTTTTGTTTAGTAATATTTTTGGAATAGAAGAGGACTTATTTCCTCTTTCTATTTTTAACAGCCACAAATCTTGTAAAAACCTTTTTGATTATTTTTCTCAATTTCAAATCCACAATTTACCGGTGTGTGTGTGTATAAAACTTTCTCTGGGAAAGATCCCGAGAACACCATCAAATTCTGTCAATCACACAGTCTTTGCCAAACACCATAACAGGTTGTTTTGGGAATGGGAACATGTCTGGTGTCAAATATAGAAAGTGGGGCAGACATGAATCACTCAGAACAGATTATTTCAAAGCCAAACCCCAATTTATACCCAAAATCCTTCACAATATGTTTTAGTGTCTGAATAAAAAACGTTTATCTTCGTTATGTGTCCTGCTCCTCGTAGACATGTCGTGTCCTTAAATGCTTCCTTTGATTTCCTCCAGGAGCCTGGAGACTCGGAGGCAGGAGTAGACCGTAGAGACACTAGCTCCTACTCACTGCATCTAAATGTGGTGCAGCCTTGGCGCTTTGTGCGTATGTTGTTATAAACAGATGCTTCATGAGATGAGAAGAATTCACTCGAGAGAGGAGTGAGTCATAGTTTTTGAACTCAAAGATGAAGTTAATTAAGAAATACACAGCGTTCTGATCTTACCTTGGCACTGCACTGGGTTAATTAAGTTGGCACCTGGATGCAGACTGAGGAGGAAGGATAAAGAGCATGTAAGGTGTAGACTCAAAGCCATCTAAAGCTGTGTGACCTCACACGATTACAGAAATGTTGCATTAAGAAAGCTTTCTTCTCAATTAAAGTACTTCATAGGATTATTTAGTCTGCCCTATAATAATCCTATCGAGGTTGTTTATCAGATCTTTTTTTTTTCTGGCTACTAAAATGTCCTACTAATGTATCTAAAAAAAATGAAAGGGAAAAAACAAAGAATGCTCTTGTTCTTCCCTTTTCCCTGTTCCTCACATTTAGCATGCAAGCTGTCACATATTTTGTGACTTGAACACATATTAAAGAAAAGCTGAGTTTTACATCTGCATCACTTCACTCTGCACTTTTATTGAAGCGACTGTGCAGTTATTTCACATAAGCGGTTAGATTTTATATGACAATAAAGGCCACCCTTTCTGCTGCAGCTGCCTGCCACCTAGACATCTATACTCTGCTTCACCGTCTGGGAATATCCACATCAAGCCAAAAAGCACAAAAACACAAACAAACAAGTAAGCCACATGTTGTTGGCTGTGAGACAAGAGGGGGGCAAGAGGGGGGATATGAGAAAAGTGCAGGAGAGAATGGCATGTTCTGTCCCAGAATAATCTCTGCACAGACGTTTTAACTCTAAGGGACCAGCATTCTTTCCAATTTTGCACCATAATGGATTCTTCAATGCACAAACATATGTTATAAGATGCTAATTGGAAATGTAATCGAGCATCATGTTAAGTTTTATATGGCCCTGCTTGATTCATTCTGACAATCGGACATCTAAATGCATAGTGGAAGTGCCCTTCACCTTTTACAGATGACACATCAATCTCCTAAAGTCAACATTTGTACCGAAGCAGAGCCTCTCTCTAAGTAGAGCTGTTTGCTTTGGTGAGACACAGTTTGGACGGAGCCCCTGCTGTTTGGCTTTGCTCTCTGGAGACCCCTTGGATTTATTGAACATGATGGAGGGATTCTGAGAAACCTTAAATGGGCATTTTGAGCTGGAACTACTGTGTATTTTAGTTAAGCCACCGGTCGGGCTGCACATCGCTCTGATGAGAAAGTTCACCGACTTAGTCATCAAGTGTTGTTTATATTGTGACCAAGGAACAGTCAGAGTTAGCAGAAAGGACGTCTTGTGACATATACATTAGGATAGCAGTACTACTTATTTTTCCCGGTTTTATTGTCTTCATCAGAGTCGGCACGTGTCTCACCAACCCCAGACGTCAAGTATGAAAAACTACTTTGGTCTGAGAAAAATAATCTTTTAGTGGTAAATATCAGAAGACCATATGAACCTCGTTGGAAGAATAGCTTTAGGTTTAGAGTAGGGCCGCTCAATGATGGTAACGATCATTTCAATGGCTTACAATTTCAATTATAATGATTCCAAACAATTACTTATTCGTGTCTGCTAGTAACTTTTAGAATTGTGTATTTATGTTTTTGTATTGATGGATGTGTTTCTGCTGCTGGACACCTGAATATGGGGATATATGATATTATCAGTACATTAATTTTGTAAGAGACATAATTTTCCCTCTATCTAAAACATGTTTAGAAAGTGCTATAAAAAAAATGATTATCAGTATTATTGTTATTATTATTATTATTATTATGCTGTACACATAAACAGAAAGCTGGAACATTTTTCTTTGAAAGCCTATGCTGATTTTTTTTTTTTAATCTTTATCATTATTGAGTGGAAGAACAAGCACATTTCTTATTTTCTATTGCATCCTTTTTTGTATTTAAATAGCTAAGATCACAATTACAAATGTGATTAATTACTCAAGCGTCTGTTTATTCCCTCAAAGCAGATAACCTTCAAACTTGAGATTATGTATGCTAATTACACAGTAAATGGAAACCTGGACTTTTGTTGCAGTTTCACAAGCAAGACAACAGATTCTACAGATGTGTATTCTGTAATTTACCTCTTTGAAAGTTTACAATATATACTGGCACTGCACTGCAAAAGATATACAGATTTTCTTGCCGCCAAATTACAATTTCCTTTATAATCAATTTCAGTCGATGGTTAAATATAGAACTATGAGGAGGAGCAGGGGGATCATGCTGTCAACAAAATTCTGAAGTTGAACCAAGTCGCTTTAAATTTAATCAGCCCGTAATTCAATTTAATTTACTAAGCCACCCAGCCCTGCTCTGGATACACATCCCTACTGTACAATCCCTTCTCATTGCCACAGCCTGCTTTGTCTTTCATTAGGTCATAAGTGTTGTTCTTGCACATAGTTACACATGTTACTTGGACAGTAAGTTCTACGTTGGAGTAAAAAGCACAGAGCATGGCCTGAATTGTGATCCTCTCTTGCTCTTGTCAGCTCGAGGACTCTTATATAACAGTCAGAGCGAACAGTCACACTGCTTTGTTTTCACACAATCCCATTTTTACCAGTCAGAGATGCTTTTATCTGCTCAGCCTCTCCACGTACACACTCGCAGTCCTCCCTCTGGGGCCACCACTTGCTTTTGAGTCTTATCGCAAGGAAATTGGAGTTCTTTCATACACCCACCAGCGCTATCAGCTATTTAGCTCGTTTTCGTGACCAGTTGAAAGTCGGTTGTAAACTAAAGGCTCTTCAAGTCTGAATGTTTTTACTGATCGGAAAAACTGCATCATTGAAGTTGCACTCACTCCACTCTAGATCAGGGAGCCTCATTTGCCACTCATGAAGTTAGGATCAGAATGTTAACTTAAACCAACAATGTAACTAACGATGTATTAAGATAAGATAAACTTTATTGATCTCACATACAAAATAATATATACAAAAATAAAACAATTAAATCCGTCGAACTAGTTTCTGGCTCTAAAACAGTTTGGTTCCATAGTTTTCTTTACATGTACATGCAAAAGATAAGATGTTTTCTTGTATAACATGACACACAATGTATTATTAAACAAAAGCACTTGGAGTAAACCTGGTTCTTAATTATTCTTAAGTATTTTATATATTGATTTGGATTATTTCTTTGAACTTCAAATGTTGAACCAATATTTGATATAGACTCATTACATGCAAAGAGACATATGTCAAGCCTTTGTTTATTATAATGTTGAGGTTTAAAGTATTTTTTTCCAATTTTTCACCTGTTTATTTCTAATGTTTGACAGCACAGGATCTTTAAGTGACTCTCTTCGCTTCCTTTGCTTGTGAAAATATTCACAGAATTCACACTAAAGGGGTGGCAATATCCATGTAGCTAATGCTGGCCCAACCTTCTCTATTAAAACACCTTCAGTCCAGAGAGAATGTTTTAAGCTAATACCTCTGTGTATGGTGCAGTTTGGTATTTGCAAAGCATTAAATTCTCCTTGACTATGTACAACTGCAATGTGTTTATATTTTACATACATGTCTGAAACTCAAACTGAGGGCCTCATACTTCTTTTTCACAGTAGACACATGCAATAACAACGCTTCTTCTATGTCAAGAAAAAACATGTTCCTTGGATTTGGTTTCACATCACAT